ATCTGTCTACAGCGATACGTTACCCACCTTCACAAAATATTTACCCAACATAAATCTAATTACTAATAAATTAAAGAAAAACCACTATAGTGATTGAAACATTTTCCTTCTCTGTCCTTCGGAGAAGCGAAAAAAATCTACTATGAGATGTCATAAGAGCAAGACCGATAGTGAACATCTATGGATGGCAATTAGTCAACGTTTAAAAATTATCGATATTTGTTACTTGAATAGTCACAGGTTGAATTTGTACAAAAAGGGGATTTTGTAACGGTTTTGCGCATTTTGACTCTGAAAATTATTTACTTCAATCAAATATCTGGTAATGAATGAAGCATTATTATTTTGTAAACAGAATAAGATTAAACATGGATGAGATCATGATTTTGTTAGTTTTCTACAGTATTTTTAATAACCAGTAATACGTACTTCTAGAACGGACAAAATCTGTCGACTGGTTGCAGTTTTACCGGAAATGTATCATTTGGCATTTACGTAATCTATTTATCGCTTATTATATGGCGTTTTATCTTTTCTCACTACATAATAAACATTTTACATTGCATAGTACTCGGTGTATATCACAAATAACCAAAGACATTACTTTAAAGCTTAAAAGGTTTCATTTCAAACTTCAATGGAAGGAGACGAGAATTCTATGGACAAATATGTCAATAGCTAAGCCTAATTTATTAGTTTAGTGATTATGATAAAAAAACCATTTGTATTAATCAACCAACATGAGGTAGCTAAGTATTTAAATGGAAATTATTTTGTTTCCCTGGGATGTAAATAGATTTAAATCCGAATGATATCTACATAGAGTATATAAACACCGATTATTGTGACCTTAGGGGTAAATGAAAAAAAATCGTATGTTTAAAATTATAAGGTATTTTTTATTGTATGATGAAACAACATACCGGAAATCACTAACTCAGTTCTTGAGATCAATATCACGTTATCAATTCTTTTTAAAAAAAAGATATTTAAATTTGTATCTAATTCCCATGAAAATATCAGAAAGGAGAAAAAAAGAACATTCAGTTTAAACGAATTTATCACCAATCTGTACATTAATTTATAGCATAGCAATTAAAAATTCACAGCAATATTGATGTTCCCTAATATATGTATGACAACAGAAATTGTTACCTATACTATTTAAAAGCTTTATAGGTTATTTATGATTAAGGTAGAAAACATAAACCTGGAATGGATAAAACTCTAAGCATATATAAGTAAGAGATGTGAAAGTTGAAATGTTCATGATTTAAATGACTTTCAATGGTACTAAGTTGATATTACAAATCGATTACTAGATAGTAAATGATAATATTAGTATTCATCAGATCCTATCAGTCACATTTATATTGTGATCATTAAATTAAGTAAGTATCACACTGGACTTCGTTTGAAATATTTGAAATCTATGAATAGGAATTACAGGAGTCAGACAAGGCTGCTTACTCTACTCCTTCCTCTTTCATCTGGTGGTCGGCTGGATTATGAAGACTTCCACATCTGAGCGAAAGTACACAATACAATAGACAGCTCGGAATCGATTAGAATATTTTGGCTTCGCAAATCAACTGGTTCTTCTATCCCATACACACAAACAAATACAGCCGAAGATAACTACTGTAGCAGCAGCCTCTACATCAGTAAGCCTCAACATACACAAGCGAAAAAGCAAGATCCTCAAATACAACACGAGAACATCAACCTAATCACATTTGATGGAGAAGCTCTGGAATCTTTTATGTACCTGGGAAGCATCGTCGATGAGCGAGGAGTATGTAATGCAGACGCAAATGCATGGATTGACAAGCAGGGGCAGTATTCCTACAGTTGAAGAACATATAGAACTCAAAACAACTTTCAACCAATATCAAAGTCACAGTCTTCAATATGAACATCAAGACAGTTCTACTACGTGGAACTGAACTTGCAGAACTACAACAACCACCATCAAACATGTACAATTATTTATAACCAATTGTCTACGCAAGATACTCAGCGTCCGTTGACCCGATACCACCAGCAACAATCTATTGTGGGCTTTTATCAGGAGAGGAAATTAGGAAAAGATGCTGAAGGCGGATAGGATATACATAACAGAAATCGCCACAGTGCATCACGAAGCAAATGCTAACTTAGAATCCTGAAGGGGAACGGAAAAGAAGGAGATCAATGACCACACTACGTCTGGAATCGGAAACAGACATGAAAAGGATGAATAGTGATTGGAAAGGATTGCTCAGGACAGGGTTGGACGGAAAGTGCTGGTGGGAGGCCTGTGCTCCTTCATGAAGGATAACAGGTGTAAGTAAGTGGAAATTCGTAAACCTAAACTTTGTACCTAAGAGAAGCGATGCTACCTCCAAAGTTTCTCAGTTAATGTTGTATTTAGAGACATTATGTGAGTGAATTATGGAGGCGACAAACACTGTGCCAATGTGGTGTTTTCTATTTATACGGATAGATATAAGTATATGTAGCAGGACTAGGGAAATGGGTTGCTTATCAACAGAAGATTGGAATAAAGAGAAGAGGATGAAAAACAGAGAGCAATCGGAATAAAAATAGGATTGGATGAACGATGGGGTGCATAAAAGACAGCTCAAGAAATATGAGCAAATGATGTGTTTAGTATGATTTTTTACATGTTACAAAGGCACTGTGTGATTTTACGTACAAAAATAAAATGCATTGCCGCATTTGAGTCTTCGTTGACTACGCCCCTGCAGTATAGTGCTCTTAACAACCACTGAGTCATATAAATATGGATAAGTTGGTGAAAAATTCATGGACATGGGGCAAATAATGATGAAAAATATAAAACGTATTCAGTCAATAGTGTAATCGAAAAGAAATAAACAGTACATTATAGGTAATAGTCGGAATAGAGAAAGACTAGTTAAATTCAATACCATCTTCAGAAAAAGTAGAATTTCATACTGATTTAAGCTTCCTTCGACATGCAAAAATTGTCAAATGTATACGAAAAGTAGTTTTCATTGTTACTGTTTGGGAGACACAAAAAATTCCTCGAAAAAAGCCTGAAGGGGCCGCGAAAACCCTGGAAACATCTTATCCAACCAGCATTCAAAAGAAGTTTCTCAGAAACAGTCAGAGAGTGAAAAACCATGTGTCGCACTACTGATTGAATGATTACCGATTCTGCTATTCTGTTTAGAAGGGTTTTAGAACTTTCCAGAAGACCAAGATCATCTGAAATGTTACAAATGCATTAAACTTTCTGCACATAAATCAACCTTGGAGTAAAATGTTCTCCCCATATTTCGAGCCTTTTCTCTCGTCTTCAAGTTGCTGGGTAGATTTAGCCTAGGGGTTACTAGAAGAGCTCAGGAAACCGAATCAAAAGTTCAATTAGATTTATCAGTAACACTAAAGGTTTTTCTAATGAAAAAACGAATACAGCGAGAAAGAATAAACTAGATAAGTTGATGTGAAGAAATCCGCTGTTTGAAAATCTAAGTAAACATGAAACTGAGGCATCAATTATTCGAATAAGTTGAAAACTGTGACCACTTCAGCTCACATTCATGAAAATGAATTAATGGTAGGTTTCGAAGTTTTCTTCCTTCACATACTGATATACATAATAACAGAGCATTGGATGTCATGACATTTTAATGTCGGTGTCCAAATAAGTGTATTTAAGTTACCTGGCAAATATATTTTAACTACACTCATGCAGTGACAAAGATAATAATAATTAGCCAGAAACCATAAGATAACTCTTCTTTGATTCAACCATGTTTTGTGACGGCTGAAGATACTTAGAATTCGAAGAGTTACATTCACCGCAATTACGAACTCGAGGTCAACCAAAATCAGAAAACTGTTTTAGCCACTTAGAGTATTCATATAAAAATAACAAGTGATTTTACAATCAGCAATGTTTAAGCTACATCTAAGTTGGTTACCATAAGAACAGTCAACTCCTAGCACAGCAAAGCATGAAAATTATTACTTCAATATAGACAGACAGATAAAAAGTGTATCAACTAATAAGGGAACAGTTGATTACCAAATAACCGACGGAACACATGAAAAATTGTATGGGAAAAATGTGGCTACTTATGAGTAACACTATTGTTAAAGGAAAAGTTCAGCGTATTAAACACGGTTATACATGTGATAAAAAATATTAATATTTGACTAGACGGATAATGTATCATTTAACAATAGATTAATCGATCTGTGTTAATAAAAAGCGAAGGTCCGAATTGATCACTATAACATCTTGCTAATATTGAGACCTGGAAAATAACAAAATTACTGAAATCCCTATAGGGTCGTAAACTATTCTAGCTCATCCTCAGATAAACAATAGAATCATCTGTTTTTTCATGACTAAATTATGAATAGTTACATAATTGTTATCCCATTATTCAACAATAGTTACATGCATTATTTTCGCTAAAACTACCGCAGCATTATTATGTATTTCTTGCTATTCATTTACGTGACTTCCGACAGAGTTATTCGTCTAATTAATTTTTTTTCAATAAAATTATACAACTATATATTGGCTAACATTTTCGCGTTTAATAAACAATGCTTAAACTTATAATAAGTATTATCTGCCGAAGTTGTAATACGTTATTACATTTGTGGGGCCAGATGAGATGTGTTATTCTTAGGACCAGCCTTTTCTAACTACACTTCCGTTTCGAGAAAGTAATATTGTTGCTTGAGGAAAACACCTTATTGCAACCACAACACTCTCCAACCGATCGTAGAGCTTAAAAAGGAACGAGTGTTCTAAACAGTACAACTCAACCGGATTATCACATCACATATTTGCTGGAAATGAGTGTAACTACGATTATTTTTCAACAATTTACTAACTAGTAACTAAAAGATAAGTATCAATTCGAATTAAAGAGATCGATTAAATGTTCACATTTTAACGTCGAATGTGGAAAGTCTGATTCGAAACCTTTCCTTGAATAATCAAAGAAGTATGTGATTAGAAAACTTTGTTTATTTTACGTGTAATAATGTGATGAATATATGATATTTAATCTTAATGAACGAAAAACAAATTTAACGTAATGAAAAACTGAAACAATCTATTTAGTTACAAGGATGCGATTGCAAGGGAAAGGAAAAAAACTCGACGAAACAACCAGGAATCAAATAATATGCTGTTGTGTTCATTTTTCTCCAATTTGTCCTTTCACATTTTGTTCATTCAATAAACGATTATCATCGTCAATATCATCATCAGTTTTTGCATAATGAACATCTCCACTTTCAGACAATTCATCAGCTTCACGAAGTTTACGATATGTATAGGAATCTGCTCTAGTTCGAGCCATGGTCCAATGTTTAGCGAATGCATACTGATAATATGGAATATAGTAGGGTAATCGTGGTAAATCACAAAATTTCACCTATTCAGAGAATAACACAAATGTTGTTTTTAAAAAAAAAGACAATGAGACAAAATCAATTCGAATATGTATATATGAAAGTGAAATGAATAGTACACTGTGGCGAGAGTCAGAAGTGACATTTTTAGAAACCAGATAAATTTACACTTAAAGTCTGGTGAAAATCTAATATGAAAGTGTCTATTTGATCAAGTTATGATGAAGCATACAAAGTCAGATACAAACAATTGAGACAAGTGGTAGTCACTACTATTAATGTATAGATCTAGAATTTCGCAAACAGCATATGCAAGACATTGTATACGATCTAGAATATGTAGCTTTTCAATGAAGATCCACATGATAATGAATAAATATGTATTTTGTATCATGGATAATTATCTAAAGATTAAATACAAATATCAATTTATGGGCTGATACAATTAGGATATGATACTGATACCTATTTATTGTATGCTGTAAAATATAGTTAGTAAACCGGTTTCAGAAGATTAAATCTATTCTCTATTCTCAATTTTTTGTAATATAAAGCGGGATGAGAGAGTGAATAAGTGGAATCACACATGCTTACATTGTAAACGATTGTCTATCCTTAGTATATATTGAAGAAAAACTAGATTACTAATAGATATGTGCTTCATTTGCTTAAGACTAACGAGATATACATCTCATTTTCATGTAAGTTTTGTTTGGCAATGTTTCATTGAGGTTCGACATTATCTAACAACCTTCAATATTACCGAATTGAAGGAGCAATGTATTTTTTAACTGAGACAAAAATTAATGGCCATAATCCCGCTGTGTCTCTTATGAACATCTTGGGGATAAATGTTAAAACACGAAAGGAGAAAAAAACATTTACCGTCATAAAATCAAAAGATGCGGCCACATTTGGCTTAAATTCATCTATTGGTGGTACACGTCCATATCGTTGACTAAAATGATTCAATAGAATGAATGAAGCATTCATATCACGTCCAGCTTGAATAGCTTGACCCGTTGTGCTTTAATATAACGAGTAATCAGAAAAAAAAGAAAAATCAAGCAGATTGAGGCGTTTATTACTAAATATTTAGATAGAAAAATCATTGTCATAGGTTAGTTTGCCAACAACCTAACTATTTTTATTGATGAAAAATGTTGGATAGCATGTTCGAATGTCTAAAACATACAATTCTTTACTGGGTTAAAAGCGTGACATTTAATGAATATCGGCTGATAATAACTATCTGTTCATAATGTTTGTACGGTGTCCAATTCGAATAAGCGATAAACATGCTTTCTGTTAGCAAGTCCAACCAGCTATCTGGGAGGGAAGATAGCTTTTTATTAGCCAGCCGAATCAATAAAGAAATATGTATTCATTCATATTATATATATATATATATATATATATATATATATATATATATATATATCATTTGAAAAGGCAATCACACTTTGGTGTGGGGCTTATCGTATGGTCGACATTTCACTGGCCTACCGTATCAGTTCACAAATTGACATGTGAATTCATGTTATATCGTTGGATTGACCGTTACAAATTCAAGTTTATTAATCACCAGGTCATCCAACTCTAATGTGCGTAAGTTACAAATACATTATAAGGGCATACAATTATGCTAATAAAATAAAACGTAACAATAAAACGGCCATATAATAGATATCAATAAATGCATGCTTGGTAACATATTTTTACCCAACTTATCAGAAATGAAAATGAGGATATGGAATATAAATATCTAAAGAATACATTTTATTGAAACATTTAATGTTATATAACTTCTTAATAAGGTTATGGTGTTATTTTGTTTACAATATACCAATTAATACATCTTGTGTATAGAAATAACTGATCTGGAAATGTCTAAATTCTTGAACTGCTACCTTAAGAGTTGTACTGTATTTTGCAGGAAAATCAGATAAGATGTCTAAAAAAAGTATCTTCATGGCTATAAAGGTTCTAGGTTAAAACAAAACACAGGTTTTTATGAAAGTTGAAAAATGACTAGTAGCGGAATCTAAGTGTCGCGCTTTATCCAGTTAGGGACTGAATAGCTGGATGTCTCCGCATTTGAGCTGTCCACACTGGGACTCCACTATGTTCGAGGGACTAGGATATTGCCTACGACCGGCGAAAGGAAGGAAGTCAGCCACACAAAAACAATAGGATAAGCTAAGCTATGCGCTTCAGTCCTCCTAACTAGAAGAACAAGACCAGATTCAGCCAGGAAAATATATAATTCCACAAGCAACCAGGAAGACCAAACAACAAACAGACAACTTATGCGTATATACACAGTACAGAAATGTCCTCGGAGAACTTCACAAAGTAACGTACTAAAAGAGAAGACGAACCAATATCACTTGAGGTTCTTCCATGTGGGAAGCACAAACTGAAGTTTAAAATGGGCGGTTTTGGTGCGAAAATTAGAAATCCGAGTTTCAATAATTAAATTACAAAAATGGGAATTTTATCAAGTGGTTTCTGGGGATTTAGCATCTCCAATAGACTTGAACTGAGTATCTTTAACTACAAACACTAATGTGTTATCCTTTGAGCAATCAAGTCTAAAAACCACTAACTTTATTATTTATTCAAGACAGAACGGGACAAATCCTATATTTAGGTAGGAATAACAAAATGATTATACAGAATATTACAGAGGAGTGAACATTAAAATACTTACCTGTGCTTTGCTTTGAGTGCTAAATCTACATATTCATCATTTACAGTAGCTTCGTGTATGAGTAAATCACAATTTTTTCCAGCTTTCACAAGTTCAGGACATGGAGGAGTATCACCAGAATACACAATAGACCATTTTCGCTGTGTTTCAGAACAATTTCCGGCAATATTTTTACCGTTTATTAAATTTTTGAATGGATAAGGTTTATCAATAATAAACGCCCATGATGAACGTGTGTGTGGAACCTTGACCGGTCGGATCTAAATGACAAAAAAATGGATTTAAACATTTCCATGAATTACATTTCTGTAGTTAAATGTACAACTCATGAATTATTCAGTAAGATCATTTATAAATTTGTCAATATCAAATAGACCAAAAGGAGAATCTATATGTTCGATGATGCTATACAATACAATTATAAAAACTGGATTAGACTGTACTGTAACTTATTTACTACGAATAGATTCGTGTACTAGGAGTCATACTGTTTTTGTGATGTGTTAATGATAAAATCCAGTTTCATAAAATGAAGCACGTGAGGTGAGATTGGAACCTGGGACTTATTAGTTGATAACCGATTAGTTTAACTATTAAGCTATTGCACTGATTGTACTGTATAATTAATAAAACAGTAGAGGAAAAGTGAGCTTCTTAATCATACTGTGGTATATGCGACTTACGTAACACCAATCAAAATTTGAATGGCTGGCAGCAAAGGCTAAGAAGATCGAGTTGAAGAGAATAGAAGGGGAAATAGAAAGAAATTGTGAACTGGAAGAATAATAAAGAATGTGAAAAACAAATGATGGAAATTTGCAAATGAAGTATTTAGTGTATGGTTCTCATACTTTACAAAGATATTCTGTAATTTTGTAATAAAATACATTGGTTGTCCCGGCCCGTGTTTTCGTTCATTACAACAATTCTTGTGAACATATACATATACATACACTAGCACTGTATGTATATAAATACTTATTCCTTTAGACTAGACCCATTAGAATGCAAATATTAATCGAAAGAAAAGTTTGTGATTGGATCATTTAACCTATAATCACTTGGTTACAAATTCGAATCGACCTTGTTGAACTCCAACAAAAACAACAATTGCATTAATTGTAGCTTGAAGCAGAACATTATGAGTGATAGTATTAGAGAAAAAATTAACAGCTCACATAAATAATATGATTACAAGAAGCAGATACATAAGTTTATATTAACATAAATGCTTGATACATTCTTAATTTCAATACAGAAGACAAAATTACCAAACACAAAACATATAGCAATAATCATAGTGAAAATAATAATTCAACCATAAAAGTAGAGTGAGGTTGTATGCATTCAAGAAACGACAGAAATATGGTGAAGTCTGTCATAGTAAAACTACTATGATAAAAGTATAGTATAGGGATGAGCCAATCAGGGTAGAGAACGAGACTTTCAGGTTCTTGTGCAAACTTTAAATATCGCATATAACGGAACGGTAGAAATACCTTTTTATACTGATTAAAACGTTTCAGTTTATCGGCTCTGTTTCAGTAGATTACTTATAAAAGGTAGATCGACATCATCCCTAAGTCCTCACCCCCCCCGAATCCGTTTATTTTGAAAACTATCTACCAGCATAACATTGTGTAAACTAACTAATCGGGCATTTTCTTTTGAGGTTCTGTTGGAAATTTGTTTATCTATAGGGCAAATGTCAGTTTGTGATGAAAGCCCTAATTCTAAACACCTTATTTTTATATAAAAAATCTATCACGCTCATTTAAATGTTTTGAGGAGACGGTCAATCTATAAAAATAAAAACGGATTGACAGCCAGAGTAACCCATAGAAGACATTAATAGATTTTTCAGTTATTTAAAATCTATTTATATTCTGCAATATTACCGTATTCTTTTCCATAAACAATCCCTTTTGAAAATGCTGTTTTCTGATAGACTGAGTACTAGCTAAAATTTTGTCACGGTTTTTTAAGCTTATTCGTACACTCTTGCTAATTACTCTCCCTTTTGTTTTCTTGGAAGTGTTTATACAGTTCTTTGTAATGGTAAGAGTGAAGATAATATTGTAGTCAAATTAAAGCAGTAACATTTGATAAACAACAATTTAGATACAGACAATAATGATAGCAATTTTTTCAACTATTACTGTATTTAAAAAAATCCAGTCCCAACTTACAATGGGTTAAATGATAAACACAGTGATATTTTTACTTATTTATTTATTTATTTAGACATATTGGTACAAGGAGACACCGAATACATATGCTCCACACTTCGTCATTTGATTTGTGTGAGGGCTTGGATACTGCCTGGGCGCCCAAACCGAATCAGGTAAACACTGTGATACATAATGTTAAAGCAATAGGAATAAGGGATAAAAGAAAACGGTGCGACTCATTGATTACAAGGTACTTAGAAAAACAGAATAGATTTCTGGAAAAAAAATAGACAAGAAATTTTATGTGGAGTACATAAAATTTTTTGTTCTATTTGGTATGTCTAAGTCAGGTGCCCCCCGTAGATATACATTTGAATTGCGAATGGAAGACAAAGAGCGGGAGGTCCATATCCAAGGTTAGTTTATGTGCAGGAAACAAGATTTGTCTCATTCGAAATTGTGATATTCTAGAAGCTTTTAGAAACATTAAAATTGGCAAGCATCCATACACGCTAAGACATAGAATTTATTGTTTTCCTGGGAACTTCTAGGAAGATTCTATGGAACGCTGAATGGATCAAGTATATTTAGCCACTATCCAGCTTCCGAAAATTTTTCCGAGGAATTCTGAAGTAGGTCCTGGCACTAGTATTTGTTAATGACTTTTGATTTGATTTCTTTAAATAAAACATTTCCGATAAATTTTAGTTTAATTAATTTTCAAAGTACAAGTTTGTTAAGTATTCGGTTTTGAGCCAGATTGTTTGTAAGAGGGCTAAAGATACTATCTAGTTTCCTAATTTGAAGTAGACGCATTGGAACCCAAACCTGCTATGATAATCTGTGACTAAAATGAACTGATAGATTATTCTGGTTTTATGCTGACCAGTCTATCTGTACAATAACAGAGTTTAGGTAGATTAGATGCATAGAAACTGATATTCATGGTTATTGTGAATTCTGTCTGAGCATTTTACCTTCGTTTTTTATTATCTTATTCTTTTTTGTCTATTATAATTATAGCACTAATAGTCACGGTGAACTATTTTTGAACATATGGCTTATAATATACCTTCGTTATGTGCGATGTTTCCAAGTATCTACATGAACCTGTGATATTCAATCCATTTATTATCATATTTGTGTTCCCTTAAAATTCTTGACAGTTTATTTTGATTTTTTGTGGGTTTATTGAATATTTGTTTAGAAGTTACGATTTCTATATTTTCTGTCCAAAGTTTGCGTTACGATTTGTAGGCTGCCAGGGCCGAATCGATACAGCCACTGAATGTTATATATTTTGTTGAGACATTTCATTTTTTTTATTCATACCTTAATGCATGTAAACGACTTAGATATCTCACAAATTCAGATTTGTAAAACATAATACTTATGTTGTCAATGACCATGCTATAGACAAATCTTTTGTTGAGATTTTGGATTCTATGTGTGACTTCATTATCTGGCCCTAATCTATAAAGGGATTTTAGCACTCGCTAACAAAGATGAGTAAACTGTATTCATTGTTGACTTGCGTAGAATCATAATATATATAAAAGTATGGATATGTGTATCAAAGCATGTTCAACTGAAGCTTTACAAAAACTGACTATTCTAAGCCCTAAGTAAGTTAGCTTAAACACTAGTTACGTTATTCTGTTATAACTGTTCAAGGTATAAAATAACTTGAATTGTTTGTTGTCAACAGATTAGTTTATAAAAATCGAACAGGACTATCGGAAACTATTGTGATATAGATATCCTTGACGATACTCATGACTGAATTCGACCAGGTATTTATTGGCACACAATAAATATGCATCGATATTGGCTGGAATTATAAATTTCATTGTATTTTTCTGTATTCTACTTAGTAATTGAAACCAAGAAGGGCATTTTATCTTGTTTGATATGTAATTGTGCAACAACTTGTGAATTATAATAAAAACTGTATTTACTGATTAGGTTAGTAACTATTCCAATTTATTACCTTAGTTAACAACACGTTGGTGTTTGAAGTAGTAAGTACTGAGTTCAAGTATCTCTGTAAACAGAAACGTAGACATTTAAGTGACGGGCTTCATCATATAGGTCAGAGATGTTCATGTACTACTGGATTCCTCTGATAGCCACTATTTAGAAATATTTAAATTCTATCAAATTCTGCCATTTAATACTTATTTATAATATTTTCCTCACAAGTAGAAATTAATTTAATGAGTGACACTTCATTATCATAATATATGTTGTCTGGCTATGACAACTGTCCACATTTATTAGTCACCTTGTCTTATTTTACAAAGCTCATATAAATCATATTGCTAAAAAGGGTTGATTTTAAAGCAGTGTAACAGAATTTAATCAGTTATAATGTAGGCATTTTCAGCCTAACTTTAAGTAAAACGTTACACCAGGACAATTTGCTATCTAATACTCTTGTCCGAAAGGGGTTTAAGGGACGATTAGAACAATATAACACAACTTCAGATTAAGTAATAGATTTTTAATTCAAGGCAATTCTACAAAATCCAGTAAATTTGTAACTGGGTGTATGACTGATTGCATTGTAGACGTCCATCAAGGTATGTGGTTATTCTCCAAAGTGTAAAAGACCAACAGTATCAAATCATTTTCTCTTTTGAATGCACAATAACCATACGCACTTTAATACAATACTTTCACAAAACTTACAACTTTCCTGAGCAGATGTATAACATATATTTTCCCAAGCAACTACACTGTATAATCCTCGTCACTTAGCATCGCATAAACACAATGAAATACTTCATACAAACAACAACAGAGTATTAAAAATACAAGTTATCGTCGATAGTGATGCTTAGTATGATTAAATGCACAATTAATATACGTATTTGTTCCATAAAATAGACCTGTAACAAAACAATAAGTTGGTAAGTGTTGGTTTTCTCCCATTAACATAAGACAGTAACGCAAATAAGGCATAAATTAAACCAAGATGGAACTATTAGGACTTAATGACAAAAAGGGATAAAATTTACTTACATTAATATCAAGCTGCTCTAATAATTTTAACCAATTTTCCGTCTCGTTTCGTTTCATGTTTAATGCGCACGAAGGATTTGAATTCTTATCATGTTCATCGTAAAGAATTTGTATGATGAATGGGTCGACAATTTGGTCATTATGGAAAAGTTCATTGAAATTAACTAACCAATGATAGAATCCTGATGGAGCAAGGACAGGTAATAAACAATTGGATTGGTCAATACCATCTGATTTAAGTAGACTGGAACGAACTAGAGCTACTGTGAAGACACCCTTGAAAAAAAGCATAAGAATAATTTTGTAGAGAAGAAACATTTACTGTGCTAACAGAATAAGGTTCTTTTCCATAACTTACTTGACTATCTGAACTTAGTTAGATGACTGAAAATCAAGAAGCACTAGACAGTTATTTCATTTTAGTATGGGACTCTTTAATAGAGAGCTTATACGGCCCAACTAGCTAGAGGAACATATAAGATCCAGGCTAGCCCCTAACGTATTAGACTACAGAGTTAGTACTCAGTGGTTTACATTTGCGGTGGAAGGTTCTGGCTACCATGAAGATCGACTTTCATAACGTATTGAAATAATTCGAAGAAATAATAAAAAACGGGATAGATATCTCGACCTAGTTCGGAATACTAAACAGGAATGAATTATTAATTTATTCATGGAAATTGAGTTTCTACTACTACTAACTGTTAAATTGATATTTAATGGTCAGTTGTTCTTCAGTTAACCTAATTGATGGAGCGTTTCTGAAACTTTATACCAGTGCATGAAGTTACTGACTGTTGGACTGAATCATGTAGGTAAATTTAGACTACCTGGTTGGGGTCCTCACGATTATTATAATTAAATGTTACAAACGTGAAAACTAACACCAAAATTAATATGATCTACACATCGGATGACTGTCCCTTCCATTGAAGCTCCTGTTTATTTAGTAGTATTTCGAATGATTTACTTAACGTAAGTCAGATGGAATTAAGTACTGTATTATCGGTATATAATAAGGGCGATATAGGAATGATGTACAGGTTAAAAATATGTAGTAGTGTAGATTTTTATTCATAATGTAGTAGCTAAGGAAGATCTATCTTGCTTCCATTACTTGTTTTTTTTACTGACTAATATATTCAATACAGAATCGTGTACTTGGCTATGAGTTGTATTTAGTTAGTGTGAAGTAAGATTCGATTAGGAGTTAAAACATAGATTGAGCACTTACTATAGTTTTTTTTAATGCAAAAAAAAGATGTAATGCATCTCAATAGTTTAAAAACTGAACTTCCAAGCACAGAATAACGATTTTGCAATACATCTTTAGTTTTTTTATAACGTCAGTAATATTTGAAGCATCATGTAAAACCATGTACTTAATTATAAAGTTGCATGAACTACATATAACGTGGAGGAATTACTAATGTGTTTTAGAGTTGTTAATTATTTATTGGTAATTGGCTCAAATTTGGTTGCGATGATGCAGAAGTATCCTATATGTATCTTCTCTTAGGTCCTGAGTTTTAAAATTACCTAATACTTTTAATTCTGCGAATTTATTGCTTTTTCTAGAATTATACTATATATTTCTAATGTCTTCTACTACCAATGATAGTTTTAATACTTCTAAAACTTAATCATTCCGCTGAGCTATTCATGTTGAGGCAGCTTAAACCGACGCACATATGTGTCGCATTCTACGTTGATTATGACTGACTGGCTGAATAAATTGGTAGGACTTATCTACTGCAAAACATGTTTCACAATCATATGAACGTATTTTTACTTACAACACGAAACAAGTGTAACCACACTGTATATATATAATGACTTAAGATAAGAGAATAAAAAAACAGAATTATACATCTGAAAATGTGAAAACTCACACCATGATGATCAGCGTGCATATGAGTAACAAGAATTAATCGAAGTTTGCGCAAAATATTATTTCCTTTTTCGACACCATGTAGTGCGTATAGTTGACTTAAAGAACCTTCTCCACAATCCAACATTATGTAGTTATCTGGACTGAAATGGCATGCAGAAAATTTTTTGATAGTGCAACAGGTAAAAAACAAAAAAATACACTTACGAATAATGTGTAATATGATTTAAAACGTAATCATAGAGATGATGATATCAGTTTTCAGGGACAATGAATAACTTCGCTCACAGCAATTAGTCATAGAGTCAATGGTTTAAGTCAAAAATTCAATTTATAATCTATTATTCATTAAAAACTATTTTACAAATCTATGAAGATATATTCTACGTTATTTCTAGTTGACTGTAGTCGAAAAAAATCCTTGAAAAGAAAATCTTCAATACAAACACCAAGACAGTTCTACTATACAGAGATGAAACGTGGAGAACTACTACAACGATCATCAAAAAAGTACAAGTATTTATAAACAATTGTCTACAAAAGATACTGTCGATTGGCCCGATGCCATCAGCAACAATCTACTGAAGAAGAAAGCAAACCAGCTCCTAACTGAAGAGGAAATCAGGAAAAGTCGATGGAAGTGTATAGGACATACATTACAGATATCAACAAACTGCATCACGGGGCGAGAGATAACTTGGAATCTTGAAGGGGAACGGAAAAGAGGAAGACGAACGAACACACCGAGTCGAGGATTGGAAGCTAATATCAAAAGAATGAACAGAAATCGGAAACAACTGGAAAGAATTGCCCAGGACAGATTTCGATGGAGAAAACTAGTGGGCGGGCTATGCTCCTCCATGAAGAGTAACAGACGTAACTAAGTAGTCGAAAATCAAGATGTTTCATTCTATAAATCTATTAATGATACTTGACGCTCTTAAAACAAAAAACATGTCGAATTATTTACACCTATCTTATTTACCGGGATAGATACAACGACATAAATAGGTGAAACATTAAGTTGCAGTCTGAAACTCCTAAAAGTGAACAAGAAATATATTTGTAGGACTTCGTCCAGCTAAATGTTCATCTTACAATATACATTAATAAAAAGTCAATTACATTATACAAATGAAAGTCAATTCATAATTGAAACCACAAAAAAGAGGTTAAAACTAACTCTAATTGCATAAGAATACAACTGATATTACGATATTTGTTAGGAGAGGAAGATGCAGTGCCAAGAAATGTGATTTCAGGATACGCCTCTGATGCTAATCTATGAGCTAAATAATATGCAGTAAAAAAATTCCATATAAACACTTGTAAAAAGTGTAAATTAATATTGTCAAAAATTATCAAAGCAAGTGCCTTTGGTCGTCCAAAATCTGAAGTACAGGCTGATAAAGATATATTCACGACAGGATGAATTCTATGAGAGTATATTAGAAAGAGTATTTAAAAAGGGAAATTTAACCACGGAATATTCAGACTGATTTTAGTTGGAAGCACTAGACATCTGCTTCGCCTCTGTATGGGGCTCCACAGTGGTATTCAACCATGACTATACCAGGAATCGAATCCAATATATTTCGATGTGTTATTCAGCGGGCGTCTTCCAATACTCGGCTAGATTTCAAGTGAAGTCGTGAGTGCGTACGACCGTCTGATGCTTTCTGGTTTTCGATAACTATCTGATATCAGCATGTGATACAAACTATGAAATTTAGCAGTCTCCACAAGCCACCTGTGGTAGTAACAAAGAACATAAGTAGAATAGATTTTTTGGCTATTTGAACATTAAAATTCAAAGTAATGCTTCTCTTATTGAATGATAAAATTGTTTTTCTGCTCGAGTAGTTCTGTAATGCATACCCGGATTTATTTTTATAAATAATCTTATTTCTAATCTAGTACAAACTTTATGAATAAAGTCGGATTCACTTAAAAGGAAAGGCAAAGGTTGTCTATTCCAAATGATATGCAAATTTAATCTCTCCTACTAAAAAAACACTTCATTTAATGTTATCAACGGTACTAAATTGATCATCTGAAATTGTTAAAATGTCAGGGTTTTGTTTCTGTACAGCTATCGACTGCAACATGCTGGAATTCGTGCAACAAACAGCCAAATAAACACGACACAGAATAAATGGAATGTGGCTAGCAGTAAAATCTATGACGCGCATTTCATTCTAATTGAGACTGGTCAGCTGGATGTACCTTCATCAGAGTTAATGTTCACTTCAGAACTCGAACCCAGTATCGTTTGGGATCATCTAAACCATTGTAAATTGAGGTAAATAAACTGTTTACGATCTCATTAGTCAGAGATAATTAAAAGAAAATGACTAAAATCTTTACCACTTTCTAAAACTTGTACTCATTTTAACCTTATTATAGTCAACTATACTCTCTTCTCTCGTTAATACACTTTTTTTTCTCTTCATAAACCGATCAATTCTAATGCTTGATTTAGAATTGATATCAGTGTAAAATTAACATTAGATGGAACATAAATCACCCGACACTCATTAAACATACAATACATAATCAAAACTTATTAAAGTGAGAATGGGTTTTGTGGAGAGTTTTAGAAATTTCACAGGTTGAAATCATGAGTCGATTGAAGCTAAACCACCATGGAAAACCTGGAAGCATTGGACGGCCGTGTCGTCCTATTATGGGACTCCTCAGCAGTGCGCATCCACGATCCCGCATCACGCGTGGCTCGAATCCAGGACCTGCTGGCTTCGCGCGCGAGCACTTAACCACTAGACCACTGAGCCGACATCCACTGGTGTTAATGTCTAACTTTAAATGTTTCAATAAAAAGAATCATTTGCAGAAAATTATACTGATTAGAAAAGTCACCTGGTGGTTTGTTGGATTCAATGGATTCTCTCATTTTAACAAATTGTTCTTCTGCTTCTTGTAAACTCATGTAAACCGGATCAAAAATTTGTGACACAAATTCATCACCATTTAAATGTGGATAAGTAGGTCTAAATTATGAAAAAAAAAATGAAAATTTACAAAAGTTGAATATAAATCCTACTATATTATTTTTTCCCGAACAATAAATAACTCGTGCCAGGGTATAATGTTAATTTTGACAGAAATCAGGAAAAAAATACTATTCAGGTTACATGTGGAAATAAAATATTGAATCCTAAATTACCGCTTTAATCGTACAAAATGTACAATGATAAAGGCAATTAAAATATAGTAAGTTATAATCAATGTAGCAAATGAAATAAATTAACATTGACCCAAATTGCCACAACACATTAGCATAGTGAAAAATTAACGAGATTGATAAATAGAGCCCGAACTAAAGTATTATTGTTGATAGTGAAAAAAAACAAACAAACATAGAGAATTAAAAAAACAAACAGGAATGACTTCACGGGATAAAAGTATGACAAAATATTGAGACTAATGATCAATAAGGAAATAAACAGTGAATCTATACGTGCCACTATAATTGAATTTGAGTAGAGTTATTGTTGTTGTGTTTTGGGGATTTGATTCGACCCATGGCAATTGCGAATTACGAATCATCGATATTATTTCTAATACGAACAGAATCTAAAGTGAGCTTAATTTCACAGTAAATGATACACAACACTAATGATAAACCCTAACGATGGAACTGAGGAAGTAGGCAGCAGGGAACAAGAAAACTTGACATTTGACGAAAACAAATCGAAATGGAACAACTCTCTACACACAGTAACCGAAAATGACGTTGATACAGAAAAATTTGAAAACTAAAAGTAATGCCAATCAACAAGAAAATAGCAATAGAAATACGAGTTTCAAAGATTGTACTCGTAGTTATCATTACAAAAAAGAACTAACACTTATCGACATAACCAGATAATTGGGAGTATTTTTGGAGTCACCTAAGGTCTTCTTTCAACCACTGAAAACGATTATGGGAGTGACTTCAGATAATGTGTCCCTTGCATCTATTGGCATGACTCAGTTTAGTAGTCACTGATTCCGTGGACTGGTGTTATATTTCAATCTGCATGTCTAGTATTTTTCCAAACTACTCTTACTTAATGCAACATTCCATATCGAGGCAATTCGTAGTTGGATATATGTAACATGTATCACAGCCGCTTCAATTAATCAAGATTCACAACCTTATTAACCGATTTGTCATACTTACCTAGTAGCTCTACGTCTGATCTCAGTATTAATCCCTCGGCTGTCCCATCATACGTGAGTAATGCTCCGAGGACATCTGTAATCGAATACTTGCAGCTTGCGTTTATCTCCTACATTCAAAGGCCTCGTTTCACGGATTTACTTTTTTTAAAAATCTATGCAAAGATATCTTTACAGACTAACCATGTAGGAGTGAGACTTCTAAAATGATAATCATCAGCGTGCTCAACTAATTCATTCCATATAGTCAGACAAGGTGTTGCTGCAGAGCAGTCCTAAAGTTAAATTTTGCACTTATAGTAAGAGAAATGTATACCAAAATTTCTCGAACTTTCTGTTGGGGATGCTAGATCCTCAGAAATCACTTGGTAGACGTCTCATTTAGTAATTTTATTTTGGAAATCTGAATCTCTCGTTTTCGTGCCAACAGCACCCACTTCTACACTCAGTTTGTATTTCCCACTAGGAGGAACCTTAAATGTCATTAGTTCGTTTCTTCTTTTAGCACGCTATTTGGTGACGTTTTCCAAGGACATTTTTGTATTATATATAAACTCATGAGTTATGGGCTTGTTCGTTCGTTCTTTCGACTGCTTGTAGAATATACATATCCCTCGGTTGAATCCGGTCTTTTCTCTCTAGTAAGCAAGGCTGGGGAGCAGGAAAATAGCTTAGATTATCCTGTTGTTGTGTTGCTGACTTTCGTTCCTTTCGCCGGTTTAGGTGATATCGTAATCTCTTCAAACGTAGCACTTTCACTCAATTTATTCAGAAAACTCAACACTTAACCAGAATCTGTATAAATAGAGATATTTGAGTAATTATTAGTAAAAATTCGGATCGGGTTACGATATTAAAAATTCCGTAAAACCTGAAAGACTGCAGTAAATCTTACTTGTTAAACCCTGTCCATGGTCTCAAGGAAAACTGCAAATAAGGTTCAGCAGTTACAACGGAAGAGAAAGGATCAATATTCTTTGATATTGTTTCGTTCCGTTTCTGATTGGACGATAAAATAAAGAGAAATTTTACAATGTGTGGTGGGAAGAAATATAAACAAATGAATCAAGATAACCTAATAACGTTGGAAGTAATCAAATGTTATAACATTTTTAATGTTGTAACAGTTAACAGTAATATAAATATACGCTTTGCTGAGTGCATTCCTTTTAATCTGTTGTAATCAATATGGAGTTTGGAGTAGATGTGCATAGCACATTAGCACTACGAGATGACATTAACATGATGAATAGTAAAGGAATCGAAACAAAGACTGAAAATTGAGAATATTATTCAAAATGACAATGAGAAGCTAATAAAGAATACTGAAACTTAAGATTCAGAGAAAAATCAAAAGTAGAAATATCTGTGCCGTTAAGGCTGATATTGAATTATGTCACTTAACGTCGACCATGAAAATCATCTTAATCAGATAGAGTGGATCCAAAAACATGATTCAGTCCAACGGTCAGTGACTTCATAGATTGAAATCACGTTTGCCAACCTACTCTTACTTAATGCAACATTCCATATCGAGGCCATTCGTAGTTGGATATATGTAACATGTATCACAGCCGCTTCAATTAATCAAGATTCACAACCTTATTAACCGATTTGTCATACTTACCTAGTAGCTCTACGTCTGATCTCAGTATTAATCCCTCGGCTGTCCCATCATACGTGAGTAATGCTCCGAGGACATCTGTAATCAAATACTTGCAGCCTACGCTTATCTTCTATATACAAACGCCTTGCTCCAAAGACACTGAATAATATAAAGTGGACTGGGGCTCAAAATACTGGTCCTTTTTAGTCGGAAATTGTTTACCATTAAAGTACAACTGAAGATAGAAATATCATAAAGGCAAGAAAATCTATGATTGAAGAAATTCACTTGTAACTCTTAGCATGAATAGAATCCATGTCAATCAAAGAATGTACAGTGAGCAATAGTGTTTACAAAAAATTCGGATTGATAGACACACACAAAATCGTCAGAATAAAGCCTGAAGTCTCGAGATTTTCTAGTGACTGCATTACTATACCTTGCATAATCCTCAGGCATACAAGGTCCATCGACTACAATATATTTAGTTACTCCACGTAACGTACAATCAGGTTTGAGTTACTCTAAGTCAGGAGAAAAATTGATCCGGTAAATATATGAACACAAGCGAATGTAGTAAAGCGAAAAATGAATGACCAAGTGAACAAAGTTATGTAGTTTCGCATACACAAAAATAAGAAACATAAATTTACGAATAAATTGTATGGTTTACTTACAGAAACAGTATCAGAATCTGCCATATCGAAAAGCAGTGGGTAGACCTTTGAGTCGAAAAATCGATTTAGGATGAATGTTTGAGAATACATACCAACACGATCAGTTACAAAACCAGTGCCATCAAGAACCAAATGTTTCAGTGTTGTAGTTGGATCCTTTGTATCAGATTTTTGCAATGCACACTCTTCCAACCTAAATGTATTAAAAAGAATGGAAATCCTTTAGATTAATGGCCACTTTTTTTCGGAACAAACAAAAGCGTTTGGGCACTACTCATAGTTAGATTAAATAAATATACGCCCAAACTAAATACCATAGCAGTAACACATGGACAGTAAAAGAGAGCTAGTTAGGTTTCGGTTAGATCTTTTGCAGGATTTATGAACCACCATACCTTTTCTCCTAATTATCATGTCCCGACAACTAAGTAATGATGAGAAGAATCAGCAACAGCCTTAAGCTAACGTATGAAAAGGAGAAAGTAGACGGTAATAACCAGGATAAAAAGTAGGAGTCCTTAAAGCATATAGAATTATATCGACGTATGATATTAATCGCCTACATCGTTTAACTAAGTTGAGAAGTAGTCAGCCACACAGTGAGTGGTAAAACAACAACTACAAAATGTTATCAACAATCTTTAGGCAAATGACATCCACTGAAACACTGTTAACTATTAAATGGTAGTTTGAATTCCAGCTTTGCCTGCAACAAATACCATTTTGCGCTTGCTTTTTCTAGTTATGAGAGATAGTTTAGTTAGGATTTTTTTATTTAAGCACAGAATAATTTAACTAAATTTTGAAACAGCTGGTGGAATTTCCAACCGTTACGCAACGCCTGTGGTTCACAACGTTTGATTCGTTATAACAGATGTGATTAAGAGTTACAAGTTATAGGTTTACATTGTAATTGTGCAAATTTTCACTTACGTTTCCCATGAAAGGTTTACTTTACAATGCGACTACAATTTTCATAGAATTTGTTATCATAACTAGCGAGGGAGAGTTTTAACTTACTTCTGTACAAATTTCTGATACTCGTTTGAATAGAACATGCCTGGTGGTGTAAAATGAACAACTAAGGATACACCAGAGGTTAGATTTTCACTAGGCTCCTCGGCTTGAATAGAATTGAAAAAGTGTTCATTGGATATAAATGCAGGAATGTAATCAGAATTCGGACAGTCGACGAAAAGCATATTTTTTGATGGTGGTGATGGCACAGTTACTTCATCCGGAGATATCTAGATATGAAATAAGAAAGACTAAAATGTATAGTATTAAAAATAAATAGTAAGAATTCGATTGATGAATACATTTATCTTGACGTTTTCATAATAGCCATTTATTTACTCACTTAAAACAATAAAAGATTTCTACTATGAAAAAACCCAAATGTCTGTGTGAATAGACAATTTTTATCATCGCAAGCACTGACTACTACTTATAGACATTTGAAATAATTAGTATATGACTTTAACAACTAATACTTGGTTTGCCCCCAAATTCCCTGGTACGGTCGAGGGTGGAAGAGTCAACTTTCCCTCTCGAAATGTTCTCACATGAACACACGTATATAGCCACTACTAGGGAAATCCTACTCACTGCCTTTCCGTGACAGGAGGTTTGTTTACACAATGGAGAGGACGAAAAGCGGATGCCCGACGCTTAAACTTGGTTGGTGGGTTCTCATGATCCACGGAGAGGATTCGGAACGCCTTGATTCCAAACTAATGGTCACATGGGCTACAGGATCCTGAGGGAACAAATGGATTATGGATCAATTGTTGGTCACCGGCTAACATGTGACTACATCGCCCTGTGGGTTAGACCTCTAGGTTAAAGAATCGGGGAGCGTCCCCCTAAGAAAATCACATGCTTCAGTTTGGGCGTCCTCATGCAAATTGAATGACGAAGTGTGGCGAATATATATTTGGTGTCTTTTTGTACCGATCTTTGTGTTTAAACGAATAGATAAATAATACTTCCAATATGTATCTCAATTCGCTAGATATTATAAATGATGGGAACAATTATCGAACAGTTCAACTACTTCAGTTGATGTTGATTTACAGCTCTAAATACTTTAAATTTGATAACAAAATCTGATGACTGCACATCAATACTTGGTTACTTGATATCTTTACAGTCTGTTAGAATATCAATGCTATTTGTGGATGTAATGTATTTCAACAAAATCTGTAATGAAAGATTAAAAAGTGTGGGGTTAATTACTGGATATTACAAGTGGTGTAAAATGATATTTAATTAGAAGTCGGCAACCCATTGATTTTTACAGCAACTTTTGATTTATATATTTTGTAACGAACCCACTAGAGTTCTATGTATTTGGCTTTGAGCCACGTTATTTATGAGGAGTGATAATACAAACCAATGACCAAAACCAAAGTACATGGAGTAGTGTTCGATTATGTGAATTACTGGTGAAGTGATATGACTATTAATCTACCGCTCTATTACCATCTATATGTCTGGTTAACAGATAAATACTTATCAGGTAATTTGCTAAGCCGACAAGCTACGAGTCTGATTCATGCTTAGAGTAAGTTTAATTATAAATCACAAGAGTCTGAAAAAATTTACTCACTATACGTCCATCACTTAAAATTAAATTTTCTCCATTTATAACAGCTTGTATTTCCCCGGATTTTAGAACAGATCTGTAAAATGAAAGGTTGGAAACAAGTCGAAATTGAAAATATGAACAAACCGAATATCTCTCGCAAAAAAATGAATAGCGAAAGGTAAAGTAGTTGCAAGAAAACTTAAGTATACGTAAGCCAATCAGACGCGTACACATCAAAGAAATATAAACTAATAAAACATTGCACATAAAGCAACAAAAGTGAGCAATTTGATGGTAAACACAGATCCTTATCCTTGCAGTGTTCAATTTTAGGTTTTCATAATGATAATGAATCAGTTAGTTCCGAATGTCTACTTTGTTGCTATTATTTTCCAAACTATAAAATTTAGATGACTTGTCATTTATGTATTAGAGATTACTTTAAATATAAAAATTTTGATTTAGATAACTACTCAAAATATCTGCTATTCTCCTTAATATTATTAGGATTTCGGTTTACTTTAAAAATGAATAACGTTTATCAAGTAATGATCAACTAATAAAGCGGTACCACATTCGTACCGCAACAAAAAGGATTATGTGACCAGCTTGTAAATGCTAATTGTATTTTAAGAAATTTTATTGTGGGTAAGGATGATAGAAAAAATGTCAGTTGTGATAAGTAATATCATAGAAATTAAATTAATTTGACCTAAACACCAAGAATTATTTTCTATATTTGCCAATTCTCATTTAATGCTACTGTGCAGCACGATATATAAAAAAGATTAAAGTAAGCGGTTCACTGAAAAAGATGTCAGGTTATTGAAAAGTATGATGATTTCGACAGATTTACTTATGAAATCCTAGCGCAAAAATGGCGACCACTGATCGATACTACCTGGATTAAGTAAAAAAAACGATCTGCTTTTTGAGATGGCACTACAAAACAAAGGATAACTTTGTTTGGTTCGTATCTACTGGGACATCACAACTCTTTAGATCAGGTTCCATAAATTAGATAATTCAACTTTTCGAAGCAATATCTTGAATTTAAAAACAGCTGCGATTTCTTCGCATTTTATATAGATAGTAAAATTTACTTTTAAAATAACTTTAGAAAAAAGATTTACGTTATCACCAACCCATGGGAAAAGTATGACGGTTACTGATGAAAGTTATCACTTATCATGACACTTATTTTTCACAAGGATTTACAGTAAAATTACTTTGAGATGCATAAATATTTATCTCCATTTCCTCAGAATAAACTATCTCAAACTCGGAGATTAAGGTGACAGGTTTAAAAAAGCTTCAAATGTAAATTTTAAAATTTCAGATTGGCAGTCATTTCCCAATGTATTTATTATAATTTGGCATCTTACAAACCGTATGAACTGAAGGGTTGTTTATGATTAACAATGTAAATTTTATATCAATTACGAATTAGTGTGCTTATTTTTAAGTCACACTTTGTGTGAAGCCCAGTGATGCAAACCGGCTGTTCGAACCTCAGTAGTTAGAGTGGGATCACAAACTGCGTGACCTAATAATGATGTACGTCATTTGTCTACTAAAGATTGGTGTACTCATGTTTGGACACAAGTGCGAAGGATAGTGATACTACCTATCTGTTCAGATAAAAGTAGGTGGAGCGAAACTCGAACCTGCAACTTAATGGTTGAGAGTAGAGCACTAAAACTATTAGGGTACCGACGTACGGGTTATTATTAATGTGTAGTAAACAATAAGTTTGTACCAACTCATTCGATATTTGAAAAATCTGTCTCATAGAAAAATTGGGATTAGGAAGACGTGGTAGAATTAGATTTAAAAGGCTACTACTGACTTACGCTGGTATACATGCTTCATTGAACTTTGACATGATCAACTTACGACGTGTACGAAATGGCTAATGAACAGAGATAAAACAGAAAAGGAATTAAAATATAATTACTGTAATTGAATATGAGTGGGAATTTGTTATGTAATATGACGTTGAAATAGTTGAGAGTGATAATAGTAGAATTCCACTTAATTTGATCTTTCAAAGATTAGATTAATGTGAAGGTAGTTCTTTTTTACTACGGAAGGATATCAACCAAATTTCCGCTTATAAATGATACTTGAATTAAGATTTTGCAGATGTGAGTCAAAAAATGCAGAGAAGGTTTGATAGACAGATTTAACTGTAGTTTTGATATTTCATCATCTGGATTATTACAGGATTTCTAGCAGACAAAGTATTATATTCGGTTGTATTAACATGCAACAACATCCAGTCTTTGATAAGTTAAACGGAGAAAAGTTTTCATTTGGCCCATTTCTAGCCAATCAGCGCTGGCGGACAAGTGAAGATTATAGAACCTCGTGTATAGTTATAGATATACTGTTCTTCTTACAGTGACTCCCGTCCAACTTGATTTATGTGGAATATAATTACATATCTGTCCAAGCCGTTTTCATGTTTTGGGCACTAGTTGAGTGAAGTGGTATTTGAGGAGTACTAAGCAATAAGGGTACATAAGTCTTACGTTGTAACTGAATGAGTTGGATAACAAAAGACTGAACATGTCTTTCCAATCTCAGAGTATTTAAAAGCTGTAAACTTTACCGAGCCAAAATATCCAGCACGTTTTTAAGCTGTTTATGTAACAAGAGCGAATTAAAACACTAGATCTTTATGGGTTTTAACATAACCTTTACTAAAACGATGGTGAACTATAAATCATGGATGAAACAAAAGTGTGGATATCTATCTATTAAATTGACTAACCTGGAAGTAGTATATAAAAACACTAGATTCTGATACACTACCCAGATTTTCTTTTCGTCGTTTGTAGACTACAAAATAAAATATCAAAAACATTAGTCACAATGTACGCAACAGCATAGTACTCGAATCTGCCTTACAATTTTAGATACAGAAATGCTTTTGACAAGAAGAATAACGATGATTGAGATAAACAAGGAAAACATACTAAGAAACGTACGATGCCAAAAGATTAGGCTTGGCAGTTATATTTTAAGTTATCAGAGAATGAGTGACCTACCAGCTAGTTTCTTCCAATAGCCTATGGCATTTTACCATGTTTATTTTGTGTTCATATTTTGTAGATAAGTGTTGTTTTATTATATAAAACTATGCGTCTGACTAGTGGTCTTGTCTTTGAGTTCTAACCATTCGAGGGCCTAAGCCAACTATATGGTGTCATGAGAAGCCATCACTCGGTCACACTATATCATTACGTTCACCTATCGATTGGCATTCTGTTCATCAATTCTAATGGTGGAAAGTTCATCCAACCAAACCACAGAAAACCCCCTCCATAATAAAAAAATCCCACAAATACCGTCTTCTATCACAAATCATGTTTTTGAATATTTTAACTTTAACCCTTGGAGACAACCCGTCGGGCCAAATCCATGGATAGTAGAGGTAATAACAGTATCAGTAGTAATTGGAAAGATTAGGCATCAGAGATGCGATTCGAGAAAATTTAAATTAGTGAAGTAAAGACAGAAAACGTTATGAGAAACTTAGAATTTCAGAAATCATGGGAAGAAAGAGAACGAATGCACCTGTGTCATTGCAAACGATAATGTCCTCGAAAACATTGTTATTGTATGACATGGTAGGACCTAAAGGAATATATTTTTCAGGCAATAGGTTGAGTTGGGGATATTGTTTATCAAGTTTTAATGTAACAACTAAACGTTAGGAAAATATTCAATAAGTAAAAACTTGCCTGGTTCTTCATTTACGTTTGTTGGCTTGAATATTTGGAAAGATTGTACGCGAAATGCATCATCAGTGTAATACTTCTCATGAATCTCACTCATGACTGAAACGAAGAGAAAACACCAAATTGAGTCGATTTAAAAAAGTAAGCAAAGAACTAGCTAAGATGCAGCTAGATGATTAATGGAAGAGTGAGCTTATGATCATAAAAGAGGGCTATTTGATTAAAGAGCATGAAAAAACTTACCGATATCGGTTGTTTTACAATCAGTAAACGGACGAGTCAATTGCATCAGATGTTCCTAAGGGCATAAAAAAAGTTTAAATGCAAATAATGTGCATGAAGTAAAGGGATCCTAATTGACCTGGAAACTTGTAAGTTATCATCTAAAATGACCTCATAACGATTTAGATTTGTAAATTTGTAAGGACTGCTTAAGCATCATTATAAAAAGAAATTACTAATCATTAAATATGCAATAAAGATCAAAACTTGGTAGACAAGAAATCAAACACAAATAATATATTTTTGACACAGAACTATAACAGACGTACGAATTTAGATATATTTCAAGACCTAGGATTTTAGGATCAAATGTTAGGTGTTTGCATAACTATTATTCATAATACTGAAGGTAATCTATCGAACACAAAGGTCTAGAGCTGATTGTTGTGTTTGGCTTGAGTAAGCAGATAAACTATCCCTCTTTACGAAGTAAATAGAAAACTTAGTATTGAATCACGATAGAAACAATGAGAGAGAAGGAATCCCTTTCAATTACTAAGAACAGACTTCTGTGCCAGGCTTTGGGTTATAACTGTTTCAGACAATGCCCAGACATTTGAAAACGGAAGTGAGTTAGTCTTTGCACTAATGGTCCGATAGATGAGTGTAAAATATTTAAAATACTTAGTCTCTATTGCATAATACGAACGTCTAGGAATATTAACAAAGCAATATAATAGAACATAACACATATATGACCACCTTACTAGTAATTATAACCGATGGATTGCATTAACACTGTCAGATAGCTTCTTCAAGTTTACAAGGACAACCTCCAAAATACTTTTGAGATTGCCTTTGATTTGAGCAAAACGTTTTATCCAGAATAATAATAATGACGAGAATAATCTTCCTTTACACAATTACAATAATCTAGTCCCTTTTACTTAATAGAAACAAGAATGAGTTTTTAACGTTTCCCCATATTCTGTGATCGATTATTTTTCATGCTACTGTATAACGGTAAAAGGATTAAATGGCTTTGCTTCTAAAACAACTTTTAGACATAGGATAGAACCATTTGCAGGCAGGATTAATATTAGCTTCTTTAGCAGACATATCCAAGCGTCTATGCAAAGTGAAGATTCATTTAGGTTAGTTAGCCTAACGACTTTTCTAATAAGAGGTGATTTTCCAAATTTAAACATCTAATTAGTTTCTAAATAGATATCTTTAAAAACACAACTTAAAGTGGATACACCATTTGTATACAAAATTAAGGTGAGAACAAGAACAGGAAAATTTTAGAAAGCATTATAAGGAATAGTTGCAAATGAATGTAACTGCTTCGGTGAATATGGATATTAGACAATGTCGAACGTTAGTAGCAAAAACAGTTAACCCCTTCGTGAAATAATAGAACAAGAACATTTACCATCACTAACAATTAGTTATGTTCCCTAGTTATGAAATAGAGCTTTGCTGATTATCATATATGAATCAACTAACGGTAAAGAGAATTAGCTGAAAATATTTAACATCGTACAGAATGATATCTGAGCGACGAAAACGACCGCTGTTTGTAAAAGATATCCTAATATTACTTTTATTCGCACTTAAATTTTCAATACCTGCTACCTGATAGATATTTCGTAATAACATTGAAAGTGCATATTTTGCTAATACAATATATTTTGTATGGTGGATAACTCACTAGTTCTGTGGGTCCATGTATAGTTAACTTCTTAACTCCTGCGGCCTTTGCAGTCAATGCCACACCTCAAAATATGTACAACTAGCATTTGTACTAACCTAGTAATCCAGAAGTGCAATCCCAAGACATACGCGTAAGAAAGACATGTTGTATGCGCGAAGTTTTCATTCTAATATTAAGTAAACTAAGGGCATCATTACCGATATTCTGCCAAGACTCTTTGCGTTGACTCACCACAGTTGACCAAATAACGACATACCCCTGTGTCAATGAGCATCGATTTCGAGGAACCAGCACGTCCATTGCCAACAACGGTTAATGATATGGAGTGTGGTGGTGGAATCATCTTATCTCCAGGGCGTTTATGTTTTAAGAACCGTTTAGGTGTTGTTACTAAACGTACGTAGCACAAGGAGGAACGCAGCATTCACTGTCACTGCAAGCCTCAATAAAGTTACCTGTAGCCTTGAAAACGTGTTAGGAAAAGAGATGCTTGTAGCTAGAACAAAAATATCAGACGAAAATCAATAGATTTACAAACACGTTTTGGATTTAGTGGTTTAAGTGCAGCGTCGCCACCTAGTTAGAATGGTACGTCCACAGACACCTGGTAAACCACGTTAGAAAAGTAGCGCACCCTTTGATAATACCCCCGAATTACCTCAATGCCATCATCCTAATGTCCAATATTCACAAGCTTGTATTAACTGGTTGATTTATTTTCGCTTGGTAGTTATTTATGGATTTATATATTTTTCAGTTTGTGTTTGCTTCAGGGAAGCAAAACTTTTGGATACCGGCAGCTTTCGCGTCCATTTTAGAAACAATGAACAGAGAATTTAAATGCTAGGAGGATACGATTGCTTCGATAGATAAATAACTAGGTTAATGCAGATAGTATGAGGAGACTGAAATGTAGGAATAAGAGGGAAAACGCGGATGACAATAAAATGGACAGGAATAACTGAGTGTTATGTGATGATGATAGCAGTAGTTAAATTATAAGAACTTCATTAGATAAAGCTGGTCCATGCTAGAGATGTTAATCCGCTCATTCAATGTCTTCTTGAAGCTGTACACTGAGAGTGATGTGGTTAGTTTGACTTAGAAAGCATTATAAGTAGAACAGCTCCTCATGAGAAAAGGTGTGGGAGTACCCTGGTTTTGTTCTTTGATGTATGATCTTCCAGGTGTCTCTTTGAGGAACATGATGAGGCTGTATTTTTTTAAACAGTGTCGTATACAATTCTAGGGTGATTGAGCCCAGTTGTATTTGCACAAAAGTCAAGAGTTACACTTACTTTGTTTAGATCCCCGATATAGTTTGAGCTGGTATCCAAGGTCTCTATGATGACTAGCCCTATATCTCACTGTGATGAGACAATCGAAAGCTGGCTTCCATGGAGGTCATATGTTGTTTTATCAAATGGGGTAGAATGTTCATGACATGATATTTCGACATGTTTTGTTTTAACCCATTGTCTATTACCCATTTCTCTCATGTTGTGGGATTTTCGACCAGCTGTTTATATGTAATACTCATGTTCTGGAAGAGTGAATACTATATTCAAAGTCGGAAAGGTCTCAAAGTCTTGATTGCTCTAGGCCTTATATTTTGACCAAATGGCTTTGAAACCATGGTCACCTGTTGCATAGAAGTGTGTGAATGCTTACACTTCACGACTAATGATGACTAGGAGGTCAATGTATAGCTGTCAAACAATATCCACCGCAAATGCATATGTACCGTGACCAATATGCATCATAGTCCAAATGAAAGTATTTATCAGCTACTAACGAATTGTAAACCTATCATCTCTATAATTCATTTTAAAGCTCTCAAACATCCATTTCACCTCGCACCACTTATCATATCTTGGTATCATCAGCATGTAAAAAGATCATGGTGGTAAGGGACTAGCAAAGCCATTTACATGCATTAGAAATTTGGTTTCCGATGGCTATATTAATGAACGATCGTGTACCTGATTGATCATATTCGCATTGACTGAATGAATCAACCCCTTCAGGGTAGGTGGTTCGTTTCCTATTCTTAAGGATGTTTCATTATTTTGTGCAGATTTTTTCTTATGGTTAAATGCTGAATTCAGGGATCAATCGATTGTTATATTGATGTTTTTTTAGAATAAAACACCTTTCAAAGCCTTGATCACAACAGAAGTCTTTATAAGTGTCTACCAGGAAATATGAACCCGAGACATTGGAGGACAGTCAATTTTTCGCCATCATGACAAGTGAAGGGTTGTTTGGAAGTACCAGTGTGTGTACATGGGTTAAGTCATTTAGTACAGAGCCAGCATTGGTCAATAGTAGTGTCACTTACGGTGATAATGTAGTGGCATAGGGCCCTGACCATACAATCCTAAACGCTGAACACGAGGCGACTGGGAAAACAGATATTCAACATTTGAGGCGGATAAAAAACTAACGATGAGGAAGGCGAGTGGAAAAATTGAAAGAATCTAAATGAATCGAATGGCATGGCTCGGCCTCGAAGACGTGATCATTTTTGTGTAGCCTATACCTTTTATTCTGATTGAACATATTGTTCTATCTCTAGCCTAAGTGTGTTCTCCACCATACACTGGTGAATATTACGCTACGATGAGTCGGTGTATAAAATGATGTGACTTCCACGTAAGATCTTATATATTGGGCAGTTACATCACGACAAATCTACAAGTTCGGGATTAGGTCTATTATTAGAGCAGTACTATTAACGAAATAATCCGTAATCCTACAAGTATTCATTTAGTAGAGTGGCAGGGTGTAGATCTAAAGGGATTTCCGTTTTGTTATAGGGAGAGAGGGAGGAAGTAGGAGTATATACTTCCTATTCTTCTTCGTTTGGTTTGTTATCAACAGGGCTAGTGAAAGGGAAGTAGTAAAAAGGTGGTATGGTGAAAGAATAAACATTTTTAGAGGTAAAAGGTGAAGTAGAGTGGGTTGTATGGATAAGTGGTTTATTTGAAAAATCGTTAGAATGGTCCGACAAGAAGCTATCAGGATTGGTGAATTTGTTGGTGAAGTGATGTTTATCGCTCCGAATTTAGTCAGAGTATATAGAGGATAGTCCTAAAACAGTGGGAAAATCACGCTCAACAGTTTTAGGCAACAAAGAAAGAATGTTGAGGGGAAGAAAACTAAAGACGTATGGGGTGGTGTTTGTGTCGATGTGGTGAGAACCAGAGATTGTATTAGATAGTTTACCTCATTGGGCACGTACCCAGATAGATCAGCATTGTAATGATTTTGTGTGCTAAGGAGCACCCTATCCTCGGCGTGGGCAATCAAAGGCGTTGTATGTTTTGGGTTAAAAATGAGGAATATCCTGAAACTATAGTTAGGAGGCGTTCATGTAGTATATAGTAGGTTCCTGATGCTTAAAACTATTAAAGTACACCCTAAACCATTTCCCAGTGCCGTGAGAAGGCAAGGTCGTGGACAGACTTAGCGGCGTACCCGAGTAATTAAGTATTGCTAATCCTTTGTGTGTCTTAGGGTCTACCAATGCTGTGAAGAAATTCATGTTTTGGGCTAAGGGCAATGAAGTTTTTGCAGGTTTTTTCAGAGAAGTCTGTATGATCTCTGTATTTCAGTGACCGAACGGCTATAGCTTGCAGCACCATTTTTAGGAAGATACCTGTCAAGCATAGTCGTTGGGGATTTATCGGTGCCTTTGAAATAATCCTGAACGACTGTAGATGTGTAGCTGAATTGAGACTAGGAAGTAGTTGAGCGTTAGGTCCCGGGATTATGTTTGCAGCTTTTTTATGTAAAGTTTCAATTTTCGAACAAGTATTAGCACACAGTGTGGCTTAGATTTTGTGAGGACTGAGGAATGCTATTTGAGGGTTTTTGTGTGGTCATAATTGTGACTGTTGTCAGTAAATGGATTAGATGGGTTGATGTATATTTCTTTGATGATTCACCTTTGGATGGATGTCCTGTCATAGATTATTCTATTTTTTCGTAATCGAAATGCGCCGAAGTGAAAGATGACTATTAATGAAGTGATTCTCCTCTTTGGCACTAATAAACAAAAAGCAGATGAGACGGGATACTCTATTTTTGAATTTTCTTGATTTTTATGTTACACCACAAGTGTGTGACTACGTACACTCCTGTAGTAGAGTGCTTTCATATATCATACACATATCACACGCAATGACATTCTGCATATAATTACGTCTTCTTAACACTCTCGAGCATATATGGCCACTCAATTCATCGGTTCTTATAATTTCGAGATCAGAATTTTAAGGAACAACGTTTGGGCGTTTGTATGATGCCAAAGTGCTAGTTCAGGTCTAGCGTAGTCCTAGAAAGATCAGAGCACGATAAAGAACGATTAGCATGTTAATACAGCTTAATATTTTCCTCCTTGATGAAGGATTTCATCCTTTTCCAGACGCTCTATTCATCAAGTCAGAAAATATATATTTTAGATGGCCCTGATGTAAGATCCAAACTACGGTTCGGACTGCTGAATAGCCCTCCCGGTACGTTAGACACGCGCCCTTTCCCGTCGAAATCAAAACAAGTGATCGGGTAAATAGCGGTTCTATAATTCATCATAAATTTAAATGTAAATCGTTACCTAAACAAATATTACCACCCGGCTATTCAACCAATAATTGTTCAATCAATCAAATCTAAATTACAATAAATAAAGTAGTTGATGAAGGATGAGGGAAAATTACCAGTCACAACAAATGAACGCTATTCTATCCTGACTGGATAGAACACACTAAAGGAGGAGCAAATCAATATGGCTACCGCCAAGAACAAGTGTCAAGTAAAACAACACAGATGCTGTTCGGGAGGAAACACAAACTTAGTGAATGCGTAAGAAAAACAAAAACTATAATAAAAAATACAAGTATTAACAATTCAAATGTAATCAAAAGACCGCGATGTACAACTAAGGGGATCAATAGGAACAAAGTGCAAGTGTATACATGAAGGGATTTTCACACATACCAAACATTCAAAACGGATCTTACACTCCGAGTCTTCGAATTTCGTAATAATAAAATTGGTTGGTGTTTCCAAGGCCTTTGTACTTTCTTCGTTAGCGTCAGAAAGGGAAAGTCTTAGAGTTATGTACAAATCCTTGCATTTCAATTCTGTTGTAAATGGGTTATCAGGCATCTCACCAGAATCATATTCATTGATTGGTGAGGGAATTATTTTTTGTAGCATTCGTAAATGTTCTAGATCCAGGGTAGACCATCCCTAAACGCTGGTGAAGGATTCATGAGCTGTAAATGAAATTTATCATCCTTGATCAGTGGATTACAACATCCGATAATAAGACGTTTATGACCGGTAATGCTCGAAATGGAAATGTCCGTCGGTTTAGTGACTCCAACTTTCCGAGTGAATTGCCATATTTCATACTACTAGTGTCCGATTTTTCCACGAATAAAACACCTAGGATGACGGAATACATATGAATTACGTGAATGAGGTTTATCACATGATGAACACTTACCAAACTCATGCCCATCTTTGTTCAATGTTTTCCAACTCTTCAACGAGCCGTTTTTCGTGTTTTCACTCAAACGGAGATTAGGTTTATTCCAACGCCTGTTTGCATGACCATAAATACTAGTCAGAATGACCT